TGCAGCCTGGGGAATACAGTCAAAGGCAAGAAGTAAAAACAATCATTTTCAACTGACATATTTAATTTGTGGTAAGAAATTAACCATTGAACTCAATGTATTATATATTTATTCAAGCATCTAATGGACCAATCTGCACACTGACTAATTTTACTGTCGCTACTTGTATGCTAATACTTTTCTACTTTTACTTGAGTAACATTTTGAATGCAGGACTTTTACTCTAACAGAGTACTCCTACTTTTACTCAAGTACAAGATCTGAGTACTTATACTTCTACTCAAGTACAAGATCTGAGTACTTCTACTTGTAATCAAGTACAAGATCTGAGTACTTCTACTTTTACTCCAGTACAATATCTGAGTACTTCTCCCACCTCTGATCATGATGCATTATAATCCCATATGTAAATGTACCTGCAGTTGAGCACAGTGTAAACTACATCCGGCTGGTTTGAGGTTTCTTTGCTCAGGAATCCCGTCCTCTGAGCCACAGCTTTGGTCATATATTTGATGTAAAGAAACAGAAAACTTGGAAGCCTCTCCTCGTAGAGAACATGAGTTTTTAACGACTTGTAGGAGCTGTAAATGTGAACATAAACGATATACACACAACACACAGAGAGCGAAGAAACCACGTAACTCTGCGCATTGCCCATTATAGCTCAAAAATAATAAATAAAGAGGGTTTAATAAGTATTACTACATATTAAATCACTTTGTAAATCTGCAGAATAATGTAAACACAGGAAAACATGTCGCTGTCAGAAGTACGGAAAGTGAACAGGGACAAACAACACGCCGTTGCTACAGTGAAGTTAGTTTCAGGTTGGATCATCCAGCGTCACTAATGTTTATTTTTGCCTCCATGCTAACTTGCCAATTCTGGTAAATAATAATGCCAAAAAAGTACAATAAATATGACTAAGGAGGCACAGCTTTTTTAGCTATTGATGTGTTATGAATTTATTTTATACAAATATTGTATTAGAAGATAATTTAATTCATTTTCAAATAGTTTCTATGTAATATCAATATTCATATTAAATACAAATCCCAAAATCCAATATAAAATAAAACGATCGCTCTTAAACCATCCACTATTTCAGGAAATGAAAACACATTAGCACACTTTTAGTGAAAGTCTTTAAAAACTCTTTCTTTTAGAGCATTTTAACAATCACATCATGTATACAGAAGTTAAATTACATGTATTCAGTGTATAATTCATAAACATTCTACATTCGGCACCCAGTGAATTGAATAAAAGTTGTTCATATAATATTTAAATCCTAGGAAAATGATGTGTTACTTATTCAGCATGTTATTGTACTATTACAAAGTAGACTGTAAATTCAATATTTGCCCATTTCTGCTGAGATCTTCCTTTTTTACAGTTATTTTTTATTGTAATATTGTTCATTTCATATATTAATGTTTCTGGTCAATACACCGAAAATTCGAAAATCTACTCGGCAATGAACCGGATACTGATTTGTAAATATTCTGCTGTTCAAAACTGGCATTAAATAATATCCAATGTATTGATATTACGTGATAACATTCATATTGAGGCTGACAGGAGTCATTTTGTGAGTCAGATGATTCTGCAGAAGGCTTCCTGAGGTGATGAAGGTTGTCTCCTCCTCCTCCTCCTCCTCATCCGAACAGAAGCAGCAGCACTATGCAGACCGCATTCACCGCAATCAACGGCACTGCAGAGGAACAGACAACAGAGGATTAAAACCAGGACTTCTTTCTTACTCAGTTACATTACCAGAATTTCTGAAGTTGAGTTTAAGATAAGATGAAACTTTATTTATCCCCTTGGGGAAATTCAGGCGTTTATAGCAGCAACAGGGTCAGAGTTAAAAACAGGATTCACATAAGGTTTCTTAACCTTCTTTCAATAATGTACCTGTGCTGACCCCTGCTTTAATCCTCCCTGCAGTGTGTGAACCTTTAATGATCCTCCCTTTTGGTCTATCATTGATCAACACTGGGGGTTAAAAGCTCGATACAGTGTCTCGCCCGCTCTCTCTGCTGGCTGAACTCTTTCTAGAGAGCAGCTACCTTCTTATGCTTTTGTTTGGTATTGTTTTGGGTTCTACATAAAACACCTTGCACTAACTCATAGTGACACATCCACACCTACACTACTGATATATCACTGACTCTCACTCCTCAATTTGGTAGCTTCCTTTGTCTATTGGTTTAATAATAATAAATACTTTTCTTTAAACTGTGTCCTTTTCCCATTGTGGCCATTGAAAATATATGCTAAGCCAGTTTACCAGCGCAAAACATTTTTTGGGTAGCAAAGAAAAAGGCCTATATAAAAAGGTAAAATGCAGTGATGTACTATCAGTGTCTGATTCACAAACCAACAAACTTGTTGATGTGATATCACTAAGAAGTATTGTGTCTTTTTGATAAGTTGCTCAGAATATTTATTAAAAAACCTTGGCTTCTTTTCCACTTATATAACTGTACATTTTCCAACACTCTCTTTCTACATTTTCTCTGTCATTCAATATTAAAACTAGCCTTCTGGTCACATAAAACAAACCTAATTGTGTATAATAATAACAACCAAATACATTTTATTTGGAGGTGCCTTTCATAACACCCAAGGACACCTTACATTTCATAAAATACTCCAAAAAAAGGGTTAAAAACAGCACAATAGAACAATAACATTTAAGGAAGCAGGGAACATCGGGCACTACATTGAGTAGGATGATCTGAACAGGTGAGTCAAATCCTATATATCATATTTTAGGAACTTCATTTTCTTTAATTACTTAGAAAAACAACCCTCCTTTCTCGTTCAGGAAACACTGTACTGTAATAATAATAATAATAATACACTTTATTGATATAGCACCTTTCACGCAGCCCAAAGTGCTTTACAGAGTATGACAAAAAATCACAATAACAAACGAGGAACATAATTAAAATATGTAAAAACATTAAAACATGAACAGTGGTACTACTAAAAATGATACTGCACTCTAGGTACTTTTAAAAGTGAAACATTGGAGGATCTACTTGTCCTTGCAGGTTGATCAAATGAGGGACAGTCACTTAAATATGTTGGGGCAATAGTGTAGTGTCGTGAGCACCCACCTCTCATCACGGTCCTCACGGAGCGGACGAGGGTCATCAGCTGCACTTTGACCCCCGGTTCATCCCCAAAACCTCCAACACTCGTGTCTACTCCCCACCCAACTGAAGGAGGTTAAAACACACAGAGAGATATACAGAAGTGTCATTATAAAGAGGGAATAAAAACATGCTATGACTGAGACAATTATATAAATGTACATTACGTTTTCATCATTTTGTGTGACTTCATTTTTCGACTCTTCAACGGCCAATTTATATATATAAAATAGATATTTCACAAAACTACAATATCTAAAAATACAGAGCCTTACCACTTGTAATACAAGTATACATCATTTTGTATTTCTTTATAATCTCATTGTACTTATATTCTACTATATATTGATGTTTCGTCTTCTTTTTCTTCAATGTTTGCTTTAATTCCCAAATAATTAAATGTATTATTAACATACTGTTGTATTACTATTTACTGAAGCAAAACATCTTCCAACACTACATCATAAGTGCTTTTACATTTGATACTTTAAGTATATGTTGAAGCTTGCTAATACATTTATTTTATTTTAGTTTAAGGAAGACTTTGAATGAAGGACTACTTTGCCTTGATCTGAATTCTAGCCTGAAAAGTCTAACAAAAGTAAAATAAAATCGTAGCAATTGTATTTAAACCTCTCCATCACACACTTTAAGTCATTCATCAGGGGCTGGTGTAATCACTCTAAAAACCGATAAATACTTTAAGTTTTTAATTGTTCTAGCTGTCAGGTTACTAGCTAGTTAGCATTAGCTTAGCTTTTTTGAATTTCAACTGACATCTAACTGACAACGGACGGTTATAATTCAAACTACTTCCACTTACTTTTACTCAGAAATCTTTCTTCGTGCAACACAGCGACAGCATTGACGCACAAAATGGCTGCTTGGATGAGAGAATACAAAGTAAAGGCCATGTTGTCTTCACAGGAAGCTAGCTATATGCTAACAGTATTTACATCTGACGTAGCCTACGGTGGCTGAGAGGGTCAAACCGAGTGACAGCTTGTGCTTCTTACATATAATCATAATTATTTTATTATTAAATTGGGATATAAAATCCATAATAAGCAGTAACGTACTGCAGTAAAAGTAGTAACACCAGAGTGTGGATTTTTTTACATTTCGCATTACATTTGATTATAGTAATGAATCATTACTATTAGCGCTTTATTGTTTACTTTTGTACTACATACTTCCGGGTTGCTTTTGATTATCACCAAAATATAAATTAAGTTTAACTCATAACTACAGTAAGGCCCAATAAACTAGTGGTTGCTTATAATTTGTATAAATGAAATGTATCTGAATATTCGAAATATGAGTTATTAAATAAATGTAGTAAATGTACTTAAAAATGTGTACTTTTCTTGAGTAAATATACTTTAAATACTTCCCACCACAAACAATAAGGGCTAATTCATCAAAATACTAGTATGAGTACTTGAGATACTTCAACTTTACTAAATTATTTTGTTATGCCACTTTCTTCTATTACTGCACTACAATAAAATTACAGATTTACTGTAAGTTTACAAGTTACATTACAAATTAAGATTTTTGACATTTACAACATGTTTTACAACCAACCAATTGTCTACTACACATACAGCCTGAATCATTACTAGATTGGACAGAACATTAATTGGCATTTTCATATGGTATTACCTTGTTTGCATACCATACATGTGCATAAAGTCATATATAACTAAGTATTTATACTCATGTTATGTATATATTCTATAATTAAGGGAAAAATGAACTGTGTTACTACCCTGTCTGAATTGACTGCATATACAAACATATATATAGAATTAAGAAACAAACACACACACAGAATCATGAGAATAAAAATCTTTATTAGTGTTTTATGAAGTCTGCATAATATGCCACACGCCTGAGAAGCTTATGGTCAGAAAAAAAAAAAAGAACTGCTCTATCAATACGGCCCTCTACTGGTAAAACAACTGCGACATCTACTGTACTGACTGCTTTGCAAAAAGATTACTGTTAAATACACACATACTGTACTACTGTTATGTATATGTACGTCTGGTCCACGTTCAGGTTTTGTAATGTCATTTTTTTTTCACATTCATATGTTGGAGGCCAAAGATAAAAACAATGTAACACTGGACCCTAACACACGGTTCAGTTCCCCAAAATCCAAACGCCACTAGGTGCACTTAAAGTACAATCACTAGTGCCGTAAGGTAAACACATGTACATCAAAAATAAGGGGGGAGAAAAGGGAGGAGGAAGGGGACATGTCATAAACTCGCAACAGCCACATAATGACAAAAAATGGCAGAGTTGAAGCTAATAAGTCTTGTTGTACATACTGTATTTTAACGACAGATACACACATTAACACACACAGGTCTTCTTCTGTAACATTTTAAAAGCCAATTGTTTCTAAGCACCAAAAGGCTACAAGAGGTCACGTGTGTTTCAAAAATAATAATAATAAAAGAGATGACTGAATGAATGGCCATTACAAAGTTTGTTTTTTACATGCCTCTGGAATCATTATAAGCATTACAAGGAAAGGAGTACTTAAAATGCACCAGATTTCTTTGGGAAAAAAGGATAGAAACACATCATGTGGGGGCAGTGAGAGGTTTTTAATATCAAGACAAACTAATTATTTTTTTTAGGGTAAAACGGAAAAAGGAATGATCCATGCCCTCCTTTTTAGAAACAGCTGTGGTCTTGAAAATATTACTTTAATAAAAAGTGAACGACAGAGAAATTTTAAGTATATTTATATATAAAAATACATGAGAATACAAAAAAGTAGCAAAACAATGGGGATATAGGCTAAAAACAGAATGATACCTTCAATTTCTCCTGGCGTTTTAAAGCTCCCCCCCCCCCCTCGTCGGAGAGCCCCAGGACTCCCAGTGTCGAGTCAAAAAAAGCTTTTTAATACCAGCTGATTTCCTCTGGTCCCTGCCCAGTGCACCTCTCTCATTAGCTCCAATACCAGGCTAATCAGCGGGGATTTTAACTAGAGTGCCATATAATGACAAAGAAATAAACTACATCCAGATCGAGTTTGCAGTTTGGGGTTTTTTCTTTTTGGAATTACTTTATACTTTAACATTCCTATTTGTCCATTAAAGAAGTATGTCTTATAACGACACACGTACAAAAAAAGAAAGGGCGAATTTTAAAATTTTCCATAAAACACATTGTGGCGTTTCCACCAAGGCCATCGTTTTTCTTCACCCAGAGCCACCGCTAAAATCCCTCCTGACTATTTCCCAGAGAAAAGTAAACTTAGGATCAGAACAATGGTTGGGGTGGGATAGGAACAAGAACACATAATTTGAGCAATCAAGCTTGTGTTACTCATACAAGCAATCTTCAATACTGAGAAACTATTCACAGATATTTTTGGTATTTCCCCTACTTCCTGGACTAAAAACCAATATACATTTTCATTTGTACCACAAATAGATCTAATATTAAGGATTTGGGGGAAAGCAATTTAACAAGGTGCATGACATAGATGGGTAACAAAGTGCCGATTTTTTTTTTGTTTTTACTGAAAAGTCTGTATGCATGTGTGTGTGCGACGGTGTGGGTGCGTTTGTTCGTGTGTGTGTGTGTGTGTGTGTGTGTGTAAAGGTAAAAGAGGGATGTGGAACTGGGCCACAAATACTATGAAGAACGTGACAGAAAATTCATTCTGTGGGGGTTTTCCTTTTGTTGTTTTTTTATGAAAGGACTCGCATGTTTGGAATTTAATGATCATGTAATGGGCTGCGGTTATTTTTTTTGTTTTTTTTGGGGCGTTTCTTTAGCTGTTTAGGACATACTGGAGCAGCGAGCAGACGGGGAACCCATCTGGGTCAGGACCTTGTCGAGCCACTGCAGCGGGCCGTTCAAGTGAAGCTCGATCCAGCAAGGAGTGCTCGTGACAGTCTGCCGCCTGGAAAACACAAAGCATGCATTTTAATATCTGACATGAGCATTTTCATGCCTTACAACACATGATTTATTATGAGCTTTTATGCTCCAGACTGCTGTAAGAGTCTGCAGGAGGATCTGAGAACTGCCTTGAAAGTTTAAAACTTAAACTTGAAGAGGCCCTATTCTGCTTTTTGGGGGTTTCCCTTTCCTATTGTGTGTGTGATTAAGGTTTTTGTGCATGTAAATGGTCTGAAAAAGGCTAAAATGGCTGTTTCTCTCTCCTACACACTGATATACACCTGAACATCAGCAGGAGAGGACTCTTTAAAGTAGAGACACTACATACTGATATACACCTGAACATCAGCAGGAGAGGACTCTTTAAAGTAGAGACACTACATACTGATATACACCTGAACATCAGCAGGAGAGGACTCTTTAAAGTAGAGACACTACATACTGATATACACCTGAACATCAGCAGGAGAGGACTCTTTAAAAGTAGAGACACTACATACTGATATACACCTGAACATCAGCAGGAGAGGACTCTTTAAAGTACAGACAATAGTACATACTGATATACACCTGAACATCAGCAGGAGAGGACTCTTTAAAGTAGAGACACTACATACTGATATACACCTGAACATCAGCAGGAGAGGACTCTTTAAAGTAGAGACACTACATACTGATATACACCTGAACATCAGCAAGAGAGGACTCTTTAAAGTAGAGACACTACATACTGATACACCTGAACATCCTGCGGCTTGTATGGATTTCTAGTTCAGGTTCAGTTGTATCTGCAGGGCTCACCTGTACTCGGCTCCCCAGCCTTTGACGAAGCTCATGCGGATGGTGCACATCCTGGTGAGCTGGTAAACCGCCTCGAAGCCCTGATTCACCGACTGAGCCAACAGGGCCGCGAACTCCTGGTTGTTGAAGATTTTTAAATTGCAACCTAACGAGAAACAAAGGGATAAACAACAAAGAAGTTAACACGTGTTTTCCTAGCCCACTGACAAATCCAATTCATTGTGCATGTCTGGTTAATTATAGGTTCTTTGTTGTGTGCTCAGCTACACACGTTACATCTTCGGCATCTTACCTGGAGGAATTTTACACACTGTCGCCGGATGCCAGCCGTACCGCTGGTTGCAGTTTGGACTCTGGACAAAGATGGCGCTATCACTCAGGCACTCAGCGAAAACCTCCCCTCCGATGTAGTAGAGTCTAACTCCTCTTCCTGCAAACACACACACAGTCAGAGGGTAGAATACGATATCTGACCTGAGCAATTATTATTCATTCAGTCAGATCTCCCTCTCCTCTTAGAGTGTGTGCATCTGTGTGAGTGAGTGTGCAGGTGCTGCCTCCTGATAGAGAGGTCAATGGCGAGAGAAAGATTATCTCTCGATTATCTTTCTCTCTCCATTGACTTCAATANAGGAGGGGAAGCAGCAGGCGGTTAGAGAAATGAGAACTCCTCTCCTCTGAGCGGTCATTTTAAAGAGACGTCCATTAATGATGACAGGAGGCACAGCAGCACTCTGTCTGATGGACAGATGTGTTCATGACCACTTATATATTTACTTTTAATTAATTCACAGTGCGGTATAATGAGACAATAACAGGCTACAGATACGGACACACACACACATATATTTATATAAATATATACAATTTCAGAATCAAACAAGTATGAGAGCACTCTCATAATAATGTAACACAATCAGAGACTGGATAATATATCCCCCCCCCCTCTCTCTCTGGTCGCTGAAATGGGGAATTGAAATTGAAAGTATTAAAAGTAAGCGTAGGACACCAAACTAACTGAGGCCTGTCTCTCCGCCGCATCTATGCACACACACACACACACACACACACACACACACACACACACACACACACACACACACACACACACACACACACACACACACACACACACACACACACACACACACACCTACAGCTCCTAAAGCATATAATACAGCCATTGTGTATTTTATTATGTGAATCACTACATGGTCTTAGAAAAATATCGACTCTTTGTTTGTAGATATCTACTAAACTACAGCATACAAATACAGAGAGTAATGTAGGCCCGCTATACTGAGTGATATATATTTGACACACTGCTCTGCTTTCTGCACGGACCTCACAACTGTTCTCACTGGAAACATTGCGTCGCCGTTCAAGCGGTTACTAAAATAATATTCAGGGGATGCATGCAGAGCTGTCATTGGCTGAGATAAGTCCAGGCGTGCGTCACGACTCTTTGAAACATCACTGTTGCCGGAAATACATCCGCGGAGGAGCCACGGAGGAACCATCAGTGTATCCTTGGTTATAGCTCCTCCAGAGACTCTCGACGCTCGATCCTCGGTCCTCGGTCCTCAATGTGCATTTAGAGGAATTAGATGTCCTTCAACATGATTAGGAGCAAAACACATCTTGCCAGTTTTATAACTTTGTTTGGGGGGTGATACTGGTTTGTTGTAGAAGTCAAGAAAGTGGATGTAAAAAATATTACCCCTTGATGCATGGAATATAGCAGATGTGCATTTTCATCTGTTTTGATGTGAGACACACAAAAAAAAAGTATTTTAAAAGTAAATTTGCTTGCTATAACTAAAAGAATGAATACATATTGCTTTATTTATTTGGTTTGATGAGAGTACTTGCCAGTACTTGCTATGGGACCTAGAAATTAGCTCCATAGATTGGCAACTATTTTGATAGATAGTATTTATCAGTGTGTAGATCATTGATTGAACATATCTGTTTGTACATAATTAAATCATTTATATAGTTTGGGAACAACAATCCCAGTAATTTGTTTATTTCCACCTGGCTGCCAGACAGAGAAGCTTTAAAAAGATGGGAGAGATATTGCTGTATATCCATCTTGGTTGGCTAAGTATCAGTATTTAAATTGAGTTTAACTGTGCTAGGTTAGTACCAATGTGGGTCACAGCCTGCAAGAGACACTTTGCATGATGGGATGCAAAGTGCCGGGGTGTCCATGCCAACGTTTTATTGATGATCCCGCAATAAGTAAAATCTTCAATGAGATCTTTTCATGTGTTTCCCAATCTCTAACATGATTACCAGTCATGCTGAAACACCGTGACTTGCCACTCAACATGCAATAGATGTCCTGTTTGTAAGTCATTATTGAAACAAATATTAATCTCACCCCAGACTCGTATTATTTGGACCAGAATAATTGAAAATATTCATATGTACCAGCGTAAATGTAATCCGCATAATCGGCTGTGTTGATTACTGTGATCCCAGCCATATACGAGGATAAGGCTACTTTTAACTGTAAAGGGATTTACATGTTGGATTACTACTAAAGCAAGGATATATGTTCAAAACATTTCCTAATATTTCCTCATTTGTGGGAAATTGAACCAGAGGGATCTTTTCATGTTAATGCGACAAGCATGTGATGGAAAGTTTGGGTTAAGTCGGTCCAGGCAACAACAAACAAGTGTGTGTGACAGTGTGTATTTTAATCCCTGATTTTAATTCACTAATCGTTATTCTGATTAGATTGCCACAGAAGAAAAAGGAGGATATATTACAAATCTATTTGGGTGTATTAATAGCTGTCTTCATAATTCCTTTATTTGCATAAAGGCATAAATACATGAATGCATAGCTCAGTACTTTTGATCATATGTGCATTAAACTGTTTTCTTTTTCAAGTTTCCCAGGGGAAAAACTACAGCCGTGGTTTCTGCAATAGGGCAACTCTCCAAGTTTATATATATATATATATATATATTTTAAATTAAGTAAACTTGGTTTACCTGGGTCCATAAATCCAGCCTCCTTCCCCTCAGGTCAGTGGATTTACCGCAGCAGTAATAACTGTCAGGCCAAATGCCTGGTAAAGTGGCGGGCAGCAGCGAGTGGAGGCAGTATTTATCACGCTATTGACTTTGTGACTGCCGTGTCGTGAACTCTTTTGTCATAAACTGGAGCAGCGCTGCAGATCGATCCGAGGAAAACTGCTGTCAGCTCGACTCCCAGCGAGCATTGCTTTTCCTACAGCCACTGAGAGGGCTGATAAATTCCCACCCCCCCCCTCCCCACACACACACACACAGTCCACAGACACACTTGAGAGGATATCAGGGCAAAGTGTACATGTTCACACATCCTTCTATCAAAATGAAAAGGTAAGAGTATGGAATTTTATAATTTTGAATCATTGCACAAATAAGAGGCGGTTAACAATCCAAACTGTGAAAGGGGACCAACTGAGATAATTACGTGTTTCCTGGAGCCATCAAGTGCCTCATTTAAGAAGAATATACCATTGATATAAATATACTGTTAAGATCCTCATTAAGGATCCCATTCTCCTGATGGTACGAGCTCTTCCTCTCAGTACTGCATGGTGTTTCCAGGACCTTTTTCCCGTTATTCAGGGGCTCGGCATGTGCAATGTTCCAGGTTTGTGCCTGCAAACATCTTTTAGACTCAGCTCATTGTATTAGAAATTGCTTTTAATGTTTTGAAAAGTTCATTGGTAGAGTTTTATACATTTTCATACATTATATTAACATCCACCCACCACTTACCTCAATCTGCCTTTCCTTCCCTTATTCCCCCTTTGACTCAAGTATACTTTCCCCCTCTGTGACAGCCATGTTGTTTTCCCCTTGTTTAATTTTCATAATCATCCCTTCTTTCTTCATGTTTTGTTGTTTTTCTCTCTCCCTTATTACCCTGTCCCTTTATCTCTGCACCTCTCCTCTCCTTATATTCTCACCTTTTCTTACTTGTCAGTTCCTCTCTGCGCTTTCCTTTTCTCATTCTTTTCTATTACTTTCTTTACTTTTACATTTGTTTTATTTTTATTTTCTTCTCCAACTTACACTTCCCTACACTCATTTCCTGTCTCCCTTTTCTTATTCCCTGTCCCCTATTTCATTCTTCCCCTCCTTATCTTTGGTGTCTTTTATTTTCCGTTCTCTATTCCTTCTCTAGGTACTTGGAACAGTATGTGTGGAGTCTGTGTTGACATCCAAAAACACATGCAGGTGCTGTGTGTGTGTGTGCGTGTGTGCGTGTGTGCGTGTATGTCAGGGTTTCCACTAGGATTTTTTCTTGCCGGTCAAACTTCCGGAAAGAATTAATTTTACCGGACAAATTTTAAACTTAACGGTCATGTTTCAATAATAATAATAATAATTGTGTAGCAGAGTTTCCGTTAGCAGGTAATTACCAGACTATGACCGGATATGCTGATGTTTAAAACTCAGTTAATGGGAGTCATTTTTATATTGCTTCAGTTTATAATCGTAACAGATCGAAAGTTCAGATTCCTTTTTCAATAAATGATGCGCTTCCACAAACAACAAACAACATAGTTATTACACTCAAACAAACTACGTATAGTAGATGAAGTACATTATTAAAAGTTTAGATTCACTTTGGATAATAACACAGGAGAAAAGGAGCCTCTCTTTTTCCTCTCTCCCTCCCTCTCTCTCCTGACAGCCCGTCAGTTTATCATGCAGCTCGCTAAACAGTGGGCGGGGCTTCAGGTGATCATGCAGAGCTGCGTGTCTCCGTCAGACTCCACAGCTGATCTGATCTCTCTTTCGTGTCCGGTTATTCTTCACTCGCGTTTATGTCCATATCGATCAGATCCAGCTCTCCTGATCGGCCTTTATAGAGAGCACCGATCAAACTATTAAGAGTGAATATCGGCCGATAATGACCGGCGGCCGATCGATCGGAGCATCCCTAATTATTACCGGACATTACTTTTACTTTTGGTACTTTAACTATATTTTGATGATAATACTTTTCTACTTTACTTGAGTAACATTTTGAATGCAGGACTTTTACTTGTAACCGAATATTCCTACACTCTGGTACTTCTACTTTCACTCAATACAAGACCTGAGTACTTCTCCCACCTCTGGTTATTGTCAATACGTCTTCTGTGGGGAGGCAGACCTAATACATTGGTAACACTTTATATTAAGATACACAAATTAACCATGAACTAGTTGTTAATTAACATGCATATTAGCAGTATATCGGCTCTTTATTAGTCATTATAAAACACTTATGAATGCCTTATTCTACATGACCATATTCTACAAGTAATAAGCTATTAGTTGAGAGTTTTTCCTCAATAACCCTCTAATTAGTGCTTATTCATTGCAAGTAAGGAAGTTGTTCGACATGAGTTTGGGTCTTAATATACTCTGC